GCTGCTGCTGCCATCATTAGTCATTAGTCATACTTCTACTGTTATTATACACATATGACTATTGTCACACATGTATACTGCCAGATATTAATACATACTTTCAACATATTGTACCTCAGTAGCCAGAACTATAACTATAATATTATTAATTTCATTAATGTTGTTGTAAGCTACTGTTATTACCTGCATCTCTCTCTCTCTCTCTCTGTCTCTCTCTCTGTCTCATTGTGTCATGCGGATTACTGTTAATTTATTATGCTGATCTGTTCTGTACGACATCTATTGCACGTCTGTCCGTCCTGGAAGAGGGATCCCTCCTCAGTTGCTCTTCCTGAGGTTTCTACCATTTTTTTTCCCCGTTAAAGGGTTTTTTTGGGGAGTTTTTCCTTATCCGCTGCGAGGGTCATATGGACAGAGGGATGTCGTATGCTGTAAAGCCCTGTGAGGCAAATTGTGATTTGTGATATTGGGCTTTATAAATAAAATTGATTGATTGATTGATTGATTGATCTTCATAAATGGGTAACCTGTTGAGGTCTTGACTTGTTTTTACTAGCTTTACTTGAACTTATTACACAGTTAAATTGTACATCATTAAGTGAATACATACAGAAGCAGACATGTCTCTTTAGAAGGGAATTTATTTAAATACAAAAAACAAGTTACTGATAAAAGTGACAAGTGTGCATTGAATGTGCAAAAGTAAAACTTGCCATGAAGAAACACACTGGTGTCAGTCTCCAGCTTCTGCAGCAGGGCATCATTCAGGTCCTTGCTGTGATGCTTTGACCTCAGCTTCTGGATGGCATTGGTGAGCTGCAGTGGAGTAGCGACGTTAGTTCATAGTTAGCATCGTCTTGTTCGATGGCAGATAACTGTAGACCACATGAACATCACAAACAATAGCTGTGTCCCAATTTAGCGCCGCATCCTCCGAGGGACGCAGGCCTAAATTGGGACACAGCTGTTATCTGAAGAAACTGGTAACACTAAACAACTATGTACAAGGCGAAAATGTTCGAAAAGAAACTTAACGGGGTCCGTTTGCGGCAGCGCTTTCGTCCACCATCGCCTCCAGCATTCATTGCAGCAGCTGAGCAGCTCAGTAACCCCGCCCCCTTCCCTGTGACGTATTGGTTCTTTCTTCTAGTCCAGCAAAGAACTGGTGCCACTCTGGAACCAGTTTTTCTGGCCCAGAGCCAGTTCTTTTGTCGGTCGAAACAGGAAAACCGGTTCCAAATTAAGCACTGGCCCAGAACCAGCACTGGAACTGCTTTGGTGGAAAAGGGGTATTTGAGATGCCTGTTTGGATGTGTAGCTCTGTTGAAAACCTATTTGTTAATGAGTCTATGTCAATGTGATTTGTGCTGTAAATGGTCTAGATTAGTGCAGAGATTGTTTAGTTGTATGCAAGAATCTGTTTGTGAACAATATTAGCAAACTAAACACAAGCCAAATAATCAATGACCTAACTGCAATCTATCACAACAATAACTCAGTAAACAGCATCAAATCACGTACAACAAGTTAAACAGTCTTGCTTAGCCTGTAAAGCTGTGATAAGCTATGCCCAGTTGTTACATTACCGATCCTTGAGTGGATGGGAGAAAAAGTCACTTGGTGGTGTGCTGCTCTGTTAGCCAGCAGAAGAAGGCTGGGGAGATGATTCCAGCTGCAGTCTTTGTTAGGTCCTTTGTTCCAAAGATGAAACTCCAAGGAAGCTGGTCACTCAGGGTTTAGCAGTTAGACGCTGGGTGCTAACTCACTTAATTCCTTGCTGCTGGAAAGCTAGTTGCAAACCTTGTGTTTGCAAGAGAGTCCATGATCAATTGCCCTCCCTTTAGTGGTTTGGGGCAAGCAGCAAGGGTCTGAGCCTCTGCTGTTCCAGGCCCAGCTGGAAAGAGGTGTTAGCTGTTCAACCGCTGGAGAGCAATAGAGAGAGAGCTTGAAAGGAGCAGGACTTAGCTTAGAGTTTGGTGACATCACAGAGGGGCCTGTCACTGTAACAGTACTGTCCAATCAAGTTGTGAGACTTGTGTCTTACTGAGGTGTGAGTTGAGATCTCCTGTGGAGATGGGTGCCACATAGCTCTCTTTGTTTGGAGAACAAAGAGCATGCAGAGGAAAAAGCCTTTAAATCTCCAGTTAAGATTTTACCAAATGATAAATCATCTGTGGTCCTGTGAATCCCAACACTGACAAACCCATCAGCGTCAGTCCCTCCTGAACTGCTATCCACCAAGGCATGCAATGACTTTGCTTCTTTTTTCACAGACAAGATTTTAAAGATAAGACAGACAGTCTGTAACTCCAACACAGTGGCTATTTACCTGTGCCTCATGAGACTGCTCCAGTTAATTTAGCACTTTTTCACCCATTAAATTATGCTACTTTGACAAACATAGTTAGAAACCTTAGGTCCACTACCTGCTGCCTTGACACTCTGCCTACAAGCTTTTTTAAAGATGTTTTTAACTGCATAGCATCAGATATACTACAGATAGTCAACTGTTCTCTTCAGTCAGGCCTTTTTCCAAAGGCCCTGAAAACAGCAGTCATTAAACCTCTCTTAAAAAAGCCTAATCTGGATGCCTCAGTAATAAATAACTACAGGCCCATATCAAACCTACCATTTTTAGGAAAGATCATTGAAAAGGTTGTTTTTCAGCAACTTAACACCTTCTTGGAGCAAAACAATTCCTTTGATGCCTTTCAGTCTGGATTTCGAGCACATCACAGCACTGAGACTGCACTTGTAAAAGTTTTAAATGACATTCATCTGAGCAGTGATGCAACAAAGATTTCGGTTCTGGTATTACAAGATCTCAGTGCTGCATTCGACACAGTTGACCATAAGATACTGCTCGACAGACTAGAAAAGTTTGTGGGACATTCTGGCACTGTGCTAAATTGGTTTAAATCTTATTTACAAGACAGGGATTTCTTTGTGTCACTTGGCAATTATGAATCTGTGCGAACAAAGATTACATGTGGAGTTCCTCAAGGGTCCATTCTTGGGCCTATTCTGTTCAACATCTATATGCTCCCTCTTGCTCAGATTATGGAATATCATAACATCTCCTACCATACTTATGCAGATGACACACAACTTTACATAACAGTGTCACCAGATGACTACAATCCCCTACATCTGCTAAATAAGTGCATTGATGAAATCAATACATGGATGTGCCAGAATTTTCTACACTGTAAAAAAAAAAAGTAATATAACAGAATTTTACTGTTTATTTTACAGATTTTTTTTGTATTTTTAAAATACCATTAAATTTACAAAAAGAGACTGTGATTTTACATGTCAAATGTAAAATAACATGGAATCACTGTAACTTTGAAAACCCAAGATATTTCTGTTCTTTTACAAAAAAAACCCCATTAGAAATACACATATTTATTGTTAAAATACGTTCACAAATGTATAGTAATTTCACAAATATTTGTCTGTTATTTAAGGGAGTAAACTGTAAAATTCAACTTTAAAACTATAAAAAAATAAGAAATCATTTAAAATTACTGAGAAATTAATAGTAAAATAACTATTTAATTTGTAATTTTACTAGAATTTCTTTGTTAATTGACTAATATTTTCATTGAAAATAACCACAATTACTGTACTTTCCTAGATGGTAACATTTATTAACATTATATTAACATTTATTTTGAAAGGACATCTGGAGAGACATAGGGAAAGGGGAAAGCTTGAGAGGGTGAATAATATGCAGAGCAAAGAGTTGGACTTGAACTTAGGGCTGCTGCAGCAAGGAATATATAGCCTCTGCTTATGGGGCATCAGCACTACCAAGTGAGATGCAATTAAATGCTTTCAATAAAGCATTTCACTGATGGAGATGCTGCTACTTTATTGCAGCTGCTGCTTCAGAACTGAAGCAGACACACTGTTTGATGACTGGATGATCTCGTGTCACTCGTAGCATGCTCATATTGTCAAGGGCAGTTTATTAGCCAGACTGTAAATCAGTTTAGGCCTATCAAAGTTAGGATCAGATGCAAACACAGTCCCATTAACACTCAGACATTTGTGTATAATATTATTTTTGGTGGTGGTGGGTAGGGGGATGTTAGGTTACAGTACCACCACCTGATTTTAATCCAGGAAAAAGTCTGAGTCTGCAGTCTGAGTATGAATGACTTGTCATGAGTTTCAAAAGGAATTCCTGCAGACCCTTGCTCCTGAATGACCACTGCCACCAGAACCACTCAATCTCCTGGTATACCTTCAGCATATGTGTATATGTACTGCAAATGTTAACCTTAATGTTGAGGTTAAAACTTAACTGCCATTTCATTTCATTTCATTTGAGCCATCTCTAAAGTGAAACTGCATGCATCATGTGAAAATGAATGATTTGGACCGCTCTGTGTAGGCTACTGAAATGACCGTGGTTAATGAAAATAAACATTTGTGAGAGGCCTAGAACTGCTATAGGCTAATATGAAATGCAGTTTAAATGTAGCAATGGTCTCCAGGGAAGGTAAATGCTGTTGTATTGGCAAACAAATCTCAATATCTGTCACAATAAAACAAACCAAGAAAAGGAACTGTTAGTGAAGGAGGCCAACACCAGGATAAAACCACATAAACTACATGCTTTTCATCTGTTTCCTCAACCTACCACCTGAAAGCATTATATTCTGTCATTCAGAACAGATCTTAATGACAGAGCATTAATATCATCTGTGTCTAATTGCTTTTCAGCAATTCAGAGGTAAACAGTGAAAATATAATTTATAGAAATAAAAAGTAATATAAAGTATGAAACATTGCAGGGCCACACTGTATTATTTATTTAAAAAAAATCTAAATAAATGTAGGGGCAGTAATTGCAAACAATGTAAATTTACTTTACTTTTACTTTACTTTTGTTAATCCCCTGAGGGGAAATTCAAATCACAACGTCTTGAATTATTTCACAGCATGTCTGAACAAAACACGTTTAATCAGGAGACATTCTACTGCTGCAACGTCTCTCTGCACAAACACACGTACACACACACCAAAAAAAAAGGTCTTGCAGCACACATTGGGGCCTGAACCGGAACAACGTCATGACAACAACGTGACATGCCATTGGAGTACGTGCTGCGGAAAGCGCGGTTCCCGTTTGGGTTGGTCGATAGAATCTGTTCAGAAGAAGAAGAAGACATGCCATTGGCTGTTGGGACACTGAACATCCGTCTTTGACGTGACGCTGAACAAGATCAACAACTACCGCGCGGCGGTTCCCGTTTGAGTTGGTCGACAGAAACTTCGAGAGAACAGCAGCTCATGTTGAGGCTGGAGGAAGGACGAAGCTACAAGGCAAGTATCGAACTCAAGCTGAGTAGCATTAGCTTTATTTACCACCATGGCTCTGAGTTTACTTAGTCGGCAAAAGGCACCGAATCCGCTAGCATGTCGTCAATTGAAATGTTAGCTAACTATGATGACAAAAGCATGGCCGGCGGCGTCGGTGTCTTCACGTGGCGTCTGCCAGTGTAAGCTGCATTTAGTATTCAGCCAGACCAGCCACTAACTTACCACTTAACAGTGAGTCATTACGTTTGCTTTTGTGAACTAACTGACACACGTGGAGAGAAAGACGAACATTTGTTTAGAGCTGCAACAATTAATCGATTAATTGAACAGTGATCCATTATTAACCCTCTTGTACCCTTAGGGACATTTTTGTCCTTTGAGGGAAATTTTCACTCATTTTTTGGCCATAACTTTCACTGTATGACTTGAAATGGCATGATTTTTGGCTAGGAAGCTTAATTTTATGTAACTTGTCAAAATTTGGTTTTGAAATTTTTCTAAGGTCAATAATACACTGTGGGCAAAAAATGCATACACTTATACACTTAGGGACATTTTTGTCCCCTCAGAACAAAACAAAACTGATTTTGATGCATTATTTTTTTTTTTTTTGTAGTTTCAGGTTTTCAATTTTACTCTGCATAATTCTAGGTTTTTTTAATGGGCTTTTATATAGAAGGGCTATGATATAGTTATGGCTTTGATCAGCACTGTGTGCGTGTGTGTGCGCTTGCTCACGCATGTGCACGACCACACACAGGCACGCACACACGGTACCAAAGGGTTAAATTAATCGTCAACTATTTTGATAAATGAATAATCGGTTTAACAACTAATAGATTAATCGTTTAAATAATCGATAATGAAAATAATCGTTAGCTGCAGCCCTATATTTGTTTTTAGCAGGATGTTGTTGCTGCGGCAGCAATATAGGATGTGGGAAAAAAAAAAGTTGCTCATGCTGAGTTATTTTTCATGTTGCCCGTTCATTAGACTTGAGCAAGTGTTATAGTAATGGGGAAAACCCTGCCTTCATCTCCCAAATGACAGTTTTCAGTGAGCGATGGAAAAAAAAGAGAAAGATTACGGTCATGTCGTTAAACCAATGTTTTACCCTCCATCTGCGCGGGTCAAGTCACTGAAAACTATGAATGATCTTTGTGACTGCTTCTGTCTGATATCTCTGAACAGTTTATCCAGAAATTTGCTGATATTTCCTTTGAAATTAATGCCAATGTTGCTGAAAGCTATATATTTCTTATGCTCGGAGCACGGCTGGGAATGACATAGCAACAGTAAACAATGGGGGTGGGGGCTTAGCAAAGGGTCAATATAGTTGTATAAATGTGAAGATGAAATTTGGGAACTGTCATAGCACCAACCTGATGTCAATCTTGTATTCTGGTCGTTGAGTGGTTCCTTTGACATGGCATTTTACGTGTCTTAGCCAATCATAGATTAGCATAAAAAAAAATGCATTGAGTCAGAAGCCCCTGTCCTCCTCTAGCCCCCACCTGCTCCTTTCTTTTCACGCAGACTGCTCCTTTTCCTCGGCTTGCAGGTGTCGCTAGTGAACCATTTTAAGTGTATTTTCTTCCAAAGAAGAGAGAAAAAATATTTTATAAATGATACTGAGATTTGGTAATGGTTTATTTCAACCAGTTACTCTTTCTATATTTCTATAATATTTTGATCTTCCTCTTGCCTCTCAAAAATATAGGAGGAGCAACCTACTCTGCCTTTTTCAAGGTTTTTCAAATTTTCATTTTGGTGCATCCCTAGTCACAGGTCAACATGAAATTCAAAACAATACTGAAAAATATGTAAAGGATAAGCTAACGATCTTCTTTTATTTTGTTGAGGGGAGATTGGCTAACACAGTTTAGGTCAACTATTTCACAACCAATAGCATTTATTTTGATTTTGGCAGACTTCATGAGTCATAAAGTTTTTTTTTTCTTTCTCTCTGCAGATACGTGGTGTGAGTTGATTTCATGGAGTAAAATGAAAAGGTGAGTACTGCACTGCAGTTAAGGATGTCAAAAGATTACACCTGTCGTAGTTGTGGCGTACCCTAAAAGACGTGCATGCATGGACGTACCCTAAAAGGGTACGTGCATGCATGCACCAAGGGCTTCATAGAAATGAGCCATATTATCAGTATGCATGTTGTATGGAAAGTTGTAAGTTTCAGTTCAGAAATTACAATGCTTTTAAATGTCATGTTTACCGCCATCATCGGCGGTCATCTACTGTGTCACAGTGTCCAACTTTGCAGGCACCCTTTCTATGTCAACTTCCTCATTGTCAGAAACAGTTGATCGACCTTAAAGACCTTCTCTGTCACCTAAAAAAGACCTTGCACAAATGAAAAGTTTGTACATGAGAAATCTGTGCATGTTTTATATGAAACTGCAGGCCAAACAACTTATCCCTTCCTCTACAATACAGTTGATCGTAGAAGAAGTTAATAGTCTTAATGGAATGTGCCTGCAGTACATGAAAAGTCAACTGAAAGCATCTCTTCAAACAAAAACTGAACTATCTGAGACTGAAATTGAAGACATGTTGAAGACCCTAGATGACGTAGATATTCATGGATCTTGCAGCTCCTCCCTTTCCACAGAGTACAACAGAAAACGGTATTTTGAGGAGAATTTTCCATACGTGCATCCACAACCCATTTTTTTGGGGTTTGATGAAAATAGAAAGGAGCAATATGCTCAGTATGTTCCCATAAAACATACATTGACAACTCTGCTAAAACATACCGATGTGCTGGAACAGGGTTCTACATCTGAGAATGAAAGTACACCTCATATTTTAAATGATGTGTGTGTGATGGATCGGTATTTAAATCCAATCCTCTTTTCACTGAGTCAGGTCTCACTTTAAAAGTGATACTTTATCAAGATGCTTTTGAGGTGGTTAATCCCCTCGGCTCGGCAAAGAAAAAACATAAGATGCTTGGAGTCTACTTCACTCTAGCAAATTTTCAACCTTTTCATTGATCCACTGTTGACAACTTGCAGCTTTTGCTTTTGTGCCGAGAAGCTGATTTCAAATATTTTGGCCACGAGAAAGTGTTCTCTCAATTGATAACCGATCTTGGAGAACTGGAGACAAATGGACTGAATATTTCTGGAAACACTGTTAAGGCAACTGTCTTTTGCATTGCCGGTGACAATTTAGGGTCACATAACATAGGTGGATTTACAGAAAATTTTAGTACATCTCAACATTTCTGCCGATATTGTCACATAAACAGAAGTGAGCTAGACAATTTGGAACACCATGCTCCAATCCGTACAGTACAAGAGTACAATGACACTGTTTAAGAACTGCAAAATGGTGATGCAAGTGTAGTCAGAGGTGTGAAATTTAACTCTGTCTTTAATTCACTGACATTTTTTCATGTTTGCCAGCCAGGCCTCCCACCCTGTATTGGCCATGATCTCTTTGAGGGTGTCGTGGCATCTGACCTTGCCATTTACCTGACCCATTTTGTCAAGGTGAAGAAATTCTTCACATATTCACAGCTTAATCGAAGGATCAAACAATTTAGTTACCAGGGATCTGATGGTAGCTCTAAACCAGCTGAAGTTTCAGAAAAGGATGTGAAATTAGGTGGCCAAGCAACAGAAAACTGGTTTTTGCTGAGGCTTCTCCCCATTATCATTGGCGAAAAGATCAGATAGAGAGGATCCTGTATGGCAACTGACTGTCCACCTGAAAGAGCTAGTGGAATTGATTTGTGCCCCTACTCTATCAGTAGCCCAGGTTGCATTGCTCAGTGTTCTAATTGGTGATTATCTGGAAGCAAGGAAAGAAATTTTCCCTTCACAAAAACGAAAGCATCATTACCTCACCCACTACCCTGCCTTAATACCAAAGTTTGGCCCACTCATTCGGCTGTGGACGATGAGGTTCGAGAGCAAACATTCATATTTCAAAAGATGTGTGCAAAGGACACAAAACTTCAAAAATGTATGTCACACACCATCAGCTACTGCAGGCATACCTACATTCTGGCTCCTTTTTTGCACCCTCATTGGTGGTTAAGAACTCCACTCCTTTCCATGCTGAACTGTACAGCGAAGCAGTGCGCTCTGCAGTAGGAGAAACATTAGTCAAAGAACCCAATGTTGAGTCAGCTACCGAGGTGCAGTGGAAAGGCACTCAGTACAAAGGGACTCTTTCTGTGTCTAAACCAATGCGAGGCATTTGAATTCGGACAGATTGAGCTCATGCTTGTGACGCAGGACCAGCATGTGTACTTTATTGTTACATCTCATGACGTGTCCTATATGCCAGAATTTGGATTGTATGAAGTGAAACAAGCAAGGCAGAGCATGAAATGTTGGAAGCCTGAGCGGAAACTAGATTATTATCCTTTGCCTGTGTACATGCTTTGTGGGACAAGAGTAATTTCACTGACTCATTCACTGATTTTACTGACTCAGAGTAATCTGGAGTTTGAGAGATTAAAATCTGACAGTAATGCATGAAGAACAGTATTTTTCATCCCTTCTAGTCCTCCTAGTCATGGATACAGAGAGTCCGCTTCTGTCTTTCATCAAATCAAGTCTTCCTAAACTGAGAGACCCTGAGCCTTTGCTTGAGCATCTGCAAGATTTAGGAGTTGAGGACCTGCAGGACCTGAGCTACCTGCAGGAGAGTGACCTCCTTTCTGTCCTGAGACCAATTGAAGTCAGGAAACTTCTGTCACTGCTCAAAAAGACAAGTATGTGTTTCAATTTGTACATAATAAACTTTCACAATAGAAAAATGTGCATAGTCAAAATATACTTAATAGGTACACTTGTTCAAATTAATGCAGTCCAATACAGCAGCTCTACTATGAATAATACTTTAAAGAATCTTCTCTACATTTTTGTTGATGTTTTCAAAAAGGTGATAACTATAAATTATACCTTGTTCATCATTGATTTCATAGTGGGTGGTAGTGGTGGTGTACTGTACTGCATTATATTGAGAAAGGAACACTTTGAAATGTACCAATTGGCTACTGAGTATATAATTATGTTAGTTATTAATATACCCAGATTGAGCTATGTGGTGTCTGTATGGTTAAATATTACTACTATGTGTTCTTTATTAAGGCCAACAAGATGTCTTGGACAGTCCTCCAAGAAACCAGAGCAACGAACAGTTCAGCAGAGCCAGTACCAGTGCAAGTCCAGTAACACAGTCTGACAAGATGCCCCTTTCTGGTGAGTACATGTCTCTGTTGCACAGAATCACTCTCTTTTGGATAAGATGGGCTGAAAAATAATATAATCTACCTGTAACTTACTCTAATATAGTGCAAACACCAGCAGTGAATTGAGAGTGTGCTTATAAATTAGTATCATCAGTTGGGTCTATCTTCTCTAGATTCTGATTCGGTAGCGAATGACACACAACTAATCAGCGATGAACACAGGATATTTTATTACAATGTACAGAAAACAAATGGACTTTTGTATCCAGTAGTATCAATAGTTCCCCCAACAAGAATATGTTGTTCATTTAGTTCCCATGTATAGTCAGTCTGGTGTGTATTTTCTTTGCTACCCTGTGTAGTGTGTTATGTTGAGATCTCGCAAGCTTGTCTGTCCCAAAGCAAGGGTGTCATCTGTAGTGTGACTCGTGTGACTGCTGTGGTGTTGGAAAAGGCTGGATCTTCTTGCACCTTATCCCGGTCCTGGCTTGCAAACTGGATCACTCGTAATGTTCTCAGACTCAATAAAAGCCCCAACCTAACAAAAAAAAAACACACACACACACATACAACAAAAACAATCAGGTCTCCCAGCCAACAACAGTAAGGGAAACATATGAAAAAATTACATTTTTCAGCCCAATGCTAATAAAGAAAACTTATGAACTCACCCATGTGACCACTCAGGTAATATTTCCACCGTAGCTCTGCTTAGTTGTTTTCTTTTCCTCTCCTTTCCATTCCTGCAGTCAGTATCAGGACTACTAACTCCATGCTGGGGTTAAAATGCTATCCACTGACCATTTGTGGAAACACATTAATGATCTTTGAGTCAAAATTATGCAGGTTACATTATACAATGTGGAAAAATGGATGGCTTTAAAATAACTGTTGCATCAGTAGGTGGGTTTACATGGAGCCAAATAATCTGATTATAATCAGGTCAATCAGAATAAACAAGCCCAGAGAGGTGATATAAACATTTTCTTAAACGGAAAGAAATGAAAATTGTGTCATGTAAACAGTGAAACTAAATGTTGTCTGGTTCCGTTCTTTATGCTCCGTGTCGACGTAAATGCATAGTGATGTTTCTTCACTTGCAAATGCTTGAATCAAAGAGTCAAAACAATGAACCACTACTGTGTTACTTAGACCATAGATCTCCAACTTTTTCAGTCGCGGGATGTTTTGATTTCTGAGTTCTTAATGGGCATTAAAATTCGACCGGACCCATGGGTGTTGAAGCCTGGACTCGGCGTGTCTCACTAGCGTTAAGTCTCGGCCCGAACACGGCCAAAAAAAGAGGAAAAATGACCCAAGTCATTTCTATATAGTTTCGGCCCGAACTAGTGTCCCGAAAGAGGAAAAAGGCTCCATGAAAACCCACCTATTATTTCATAATAGCTAATGTTCTCTGTGTACTCTTCAGGTGGTTACAGCTCAGCAACTGCAAGTTCACCGCGGTCAACAAGTAGTTCAAGTATGGATATCACACCTCGTCAACTGTCTGACAACAGCTGGCATTTTAAATTTCAAATTCCTTGGCAGAAAATTCCATCTGAGATCATCAGAAAGCTGGAAACAAGAAAGCGGCCAACAAAAAGTGAGAGACTTGAAATCATACGGCTCATTGTCAGTGAAATCTTAACCGTGTGCCCAACACCTGGGAAGAAACATATCAGTGAGATAGCAAGGAAGATGACAAAGGCCTACCCTGTGGCATTTACTGATGTCATTGAAGGTGAAGTTGTAGGCAGTGGGTATGACTTACTCACCAAACAGATGGTCAGCAGAGTGGATAACCTGAAGAGAGGAAACACTTCACTTTCCTTAAAGAGACAACTTATTAGCAGCAGTGAAGGAGAGGATACCCCACTTCAGAAAAGAAGACTAGACACTTAGGGGTGTATAAACTGGCAACCAACACGGCTGCCACCTGATGAAACCCCTGAATCCCAGAAATATGCACAAGAAGAGTTAAAAAAATGTGGAGATAAAGATGCTGTGACAGCAAAGCCATTGAGAAAATGATGAGAGCCACTTTCTTCACTCAGAGAAAAGACATTATCAGTGGGACTGAGACTTCTGACTTGACAAAGGAATGGCCATATCTGTTTGAGACAACTGGCATGAAGACTCATTTTGAAGAGCTTACAGGCGTGGACATGGAAGACAAAAACATAGCAACTAAATGTGCCAGAGTTATTTCATTTCTTAAATCTAGTGACAAGACAGGGAAGATGGAGACCATCTTCAGGGAAATGGAAACATCAAGCAAAAATGTTGCAGATGTGAATGTTGCAGCGTTTCTTCCACTGCTCCTCAAGTACTTCAATGAAGAAGAAGAACAGATGTTCTACAAAGTGGATCAAACAACCTTGCCCTCTGAAGTGGACTGTGCTGAACTTCCAAGTACACCATGTATTGTTGTGTGTGGTATGAATATTTGTCTTTCTCTATTCTATTAACATTTAAGATACTGTTATTTTAGTATTGTGATAACTTCATTGAACAGCTTATTTTCTGTGCATGATAACTCTTTACAGTATGGAAAGTTAAAGTTTTGGATTTACACTTCTTGATTGGGTTATTGTCTGATTGGTTGTTGTCATTGTGGTTGTAGCTATTCTCAGCTTCATAGTATTTGAGACCATTCCTAAGATTTCCCCATTTACTGCATCTGTATCCTGAAATATGTTTATGCATTGATATTAATGATGTGAAGCCTGTGGAGTTACTGTAGTTCAGGCAGACTACTCAAGTTGCGCTCATCCTGATCAGCTGATCAGTCGCATGCTCCCCTCACCCCAACAGGTTGCGATATTTAAACCCCCCAGCTTACCTGCTCATTCCTGGCTATTCTGCTGCTGCTGCCGCTGCTGTCACCGCTGCTCTGTTGCTGCCTCTTTTTTGCGATGGCGTTTGCTGCTGCTGCTCGTACTGCTCCTGTGGTACTGCACCTCCCCAGCATCCACCTGTGGGCTCTGTTTCTATGATCCTCTGTGGGGTCTGCTGTTCATTCCTTGTAATGTCTGTCAAGCAGATCATTATTCAGGAAATGAATAAACTGAGACAGAGCCTGATGTCAAACCTGCTGCAGCCATGTTCAGGAACCCTATGCTGTGCTTCAGCTTGCCATGCTTATGCTAAATAATTTATTTTTCTCACTTCAGAGTTGTCTGACTGAACTAATAATACTTCAGACCACAATATATTAAAACAAAAAAACAGAAAACTATTACTACCATTACTTTGATTGTTATTGATGTACTGGACTCAGTTGTAACATAATTCCATTTAGTTGTTGTTGGAGTTATGGTCTTTTGGCTCAGTTTGTCACAAAAATGTTCCCTTTTTCTCTTGTCCTTGTACACACCAGGAAACTCGACTTTGGCAGCGGAGAATTTCATGCTGTCTGCAGACCAGACCATTGTGAATAGCCACATCAGTATCTTCAGTGATGCTCTTAAGCTGATGTTTGGTTTACTACCGTATGAACATATCTTACCCAGCAGCCCAAGCATCAACTTTGGAGTTCTTACAGAGGTAAGACAGCACTAGTCAATTTAATACATCAAAATAAGATATATAATGCACATAAAACTGAGAACTGCTCAAGTGCTGAAATGATTAGTACAGGGGTTCCCAAACTTTGTCAACTCAGGGCCCACTTGAAAATCTCAAAATTTTTTGCAGCCCACCTCCGCCCTCATTAACAATACAGAGGCCTAATAACGCGATTTCAGTGCACTTTTTTTAATCTTAATGATAAAGATAAAACATTCAGGACTGAAGTGAAAGTAGCAGGAAGCTCCAAAGTCACAAACGCAGCATGCTGATGCTGCCTGTTCATGGAGCATCCTGACTGAATCCTGAAGAAACCAGGGAATGGCTTCAGTGTGGGAGGATGAGTTTACTTTGATGTCCACTGAGGGTGGGACAGTTCACTAATCCACAGTATGGTTTGATTTACATTGTTGTTGTTTTCCCTTTCCAGAAACACCATTCTATTATTACATTTTATTCAAAGTAAAGATGGTCATCTGTAAAATATTAGATTACTACCTGAAGTGAGAAGGATGACGCAGCTGTAGGCATCTACATCTGTTATCATAGTTAAATCTCCTTCTGTGGTTCTTGGTGAATATTTAGCTTTTTTATTCTTAAAGTTTTATTGCTCTGACTCACAGTTCACGTCAGCTCAGGTGATCTTCAGGTTATTGTTTCACTTCACCGCTCTAAGGCGACGCCCCGTGTGTGTGTGTGTGTGTGTGTGTGTGTGTGCGCGCGCACGCACGCAGCGCTGACACGCACAGACACACACGCTGCATCTACAGTAGTCTTAACGCCTGTTCTTCATGCCGTAGACTAGCCAAAATATGAGACGTTACCACAGAATTAGCGACACAAGCAGCTCAGCGTTTACACAGAGTTTTCTCCTCCACTTTCTTACCATCGTATCATCAACACTGCTCCTCACAGCAGCTAGTCTCGCCACCAGACAATCAGAGATCTCCACCTTCTGATAGTCTGGGGACACTACTTTCTAAAGTGTGTTTAACACACCGGCGAAAACAGCCGGCAACAAAGCAACGCCTCTTGCATTTTTGAAAAGGACACGCCTTCTCGGAAATGTGCGCTCCCCCTTTTCTTGTCTGCAAGGAAACAAACACACAGAGAGCTTGAAAATGGATGCCGAGAGATTTAACTCCGTTTTATCAAACGTGTGCTCATCCGTGAAGAAAATATTTTTTCCAGCGGATGTCTTAGTTACAACATGATTGAGCTAACTGCAGTAGTTTCATGTCATATCCAACAACGGGAGGCTTTTAACAGATGACGTCCTGTTAGCTTTGCTGCTGCTGTTAGCTGTCCCTGTCAGCTGCAGCCACTGATGCTTTCTAGACATCGTGATTTCCCAAAACTGAATAAATACCACACATAGCAACACAAATGATATGAGTTACCTATTACAGACACTGCTAACGGCTAACAGGGCTAACAGCTAATGGTTAGCCCAGCTAAACGTGCACACAGAAATAGTAATGTTTGCTCAGTCATTGTCTTTATAGACTTTACAAACATCGGATTAGTCCAAAAGGTGATACAGTGATGTGAAAAATGTGATATATAGGCTATGTATATACACTGCTCAAAAAAATAAAGGGAACACTTAAACAACACAATGTAACTCCAAGTCAATCACACTTCTGTGAAATCAAACTGTCCACTTAAGAAGCAACACTGATTGACAATCAAATTCACATGCTGTTGTGCAAATGGAATAGACAACAGGTGGAAATTATAGGCAATTAGCAAGACACCCCCAATAAAGGAGTGGTTC